AAATCAAACCAAATTTCAAAAGAAATCTGAGGCACAGACTCAGGTGAGGAAAATAACTACTTAAATATAAGAACAATGGCTAACATTGAGCAGTGAGATGGAGGAACTGCTTTCCAAACTGAAACAGCAGGTTAAAGAAAACTATATGGTGGTAAAATAATTTTAACAAGCTTCAGAAAGGGTTAATGTTTTATAATTGCCAGTTGTAGTAGCATCTCAACTCGGTGATGAAAAGATTCTTTGATTCTATCCTCATTATGGAAGAACATGCTGAGATTCGTTCATATTGAAGCCATTGGCCAGCTCTGAATGAAACAAATGAATTTTTGTTGAATTTATTTTTGTTGTTTTTAAATGTTTTCGGCAAGGGAATCCCTCCAAGTCCAATATTACCTCAATTTTCAGTGTTAGCATAAAAATCTGGATAAAATAAAAACTCCTAAGTACCTACCTGGCACATAGCACCCTTGCTTTCGTCATAGCACAAGCCTAACTGCACAACTTAGGACCTTCGAGGCAGCTTTTTTTTTAATACCTTTGTATAATTATGTAATGTATGTGTTGGTATAATTAATGTAATTGGTAACATATCACTTAAAAATTCTTTTGATTGTAGAAATGATTTTTTTTTCTTCTCCAAGGACACTGCCTCCTTTCAGCATTTCCTAATAAATATCTTAGAATATACCTGACAGACAGCCAGATAAAAGAAGGTTGTCAAATCACTTCTCCACAATAGAAAACCCATTTATATGAAACGCTCCTATGGTGTGACTGTGTGTGTATAGGAAAGGGTTGGGGAAAGACGACCAATTCTTTTGATTTATATCTACAGGGGTTACAGCATATTGCTGGACACTTGTAGTGGTTAAATCATTATTAGATCATATTCCAGGAAAAACAAGACATATATCCAGGTTTATTGTGAAAATCATGCAAAACAGCCAAATGTGCTGTTTGCATCTCATTTTGTCAAACTGCACAGTACAATATTTCTGAAATCACTGACTGTCAGATGTAATATGACAACCGACTGCTCCAAGGTGGGAAGTGCTCTGTCACTGTCACACTGTGGATAATTTATGCTGGTATCCTCAGGCACATCTGAGCCACAGGAAGCACTGGATGTTATTCTGTTGTGTGTGTAATGTACTTTAAAGCAACTTGGTGATACTGCAGTGATGGTACCGCAGGCACTAAATGGCCAGCAGCTGAGGTATGTAGAGCACCGGCCCCTTTAATCTTTCAAATCCATCCTCTAGCAGAGCTTCTTGCCTGTCCTTTCAGCTCAGGGAAATATCATAAGAGTAGTTGCAGACTGTGAGATGCAACATACCCAAGGCCTCATAGAGAGTACATTCCAGAGGAGACAACCAATATGACTGTTTCCAACACAAATGCTAGATCACCACGACCTCCTCTGCTCCCGATGCAGGCAAAGGTTCATTAGCTGCTTGCCTTGTAGTCACGATACCTTCCTGCAAATACCTTCCTTTCTGCGTCTCATACACCCTTCATTTGCTCTGATTTGGCTGGCCATCTGAAGGAGCTGTATGCACGGGGCTTAACACAAGAGAGGATTTGTGCTTCCTAATGATGAGAGAAGTCCACTGGAGCAGATGAAGGCAAGGGAATGCACACAGACATGGAGAATGACATGGACGGAGATGGGGTGATCAGTCAATTGCTTCATTCAAAGATGCGCAAGGTCTGCCTTTGACTCTGGGTTTTAAAACCTGGTCCAAACCCCATCAAACCTAGGAAATCTCTCTGGACTTTTAAGAGGTTTAATATTTGAAGATTTAATTTAAAATAGGAACAATATGCCTATAAATAAAATATTTTTTAAGATCTTTGCTCATTTGCTGAGGAACAGCAAAACTGATAGAAAATCTGGCAGGAGCAAATATGCAGGTCTGTTTACAGATTTGCAAAGGCAGCCTTGCACAGCACCTGCCTACACAGAATTCTGGCTCCTGGCACTACTTTAAGGAGTATTGAATTCCTTCCCACCCACACATCTTTACATAAGTAAAAGCTTAAACATCAGTTCAGACTAAACATTTTTGAATGCAGAATCCCTTGAGTGCCATAAAAAGAAACAGCAGTGTAAATGAAATTTTAATTTCCATCGTGCTCAATAACTAATGTGCTAAAAACACAGGTTTTAAAACCACGCATAGTTTATTTAAAGTCATTGATCCCTACTTCCAGGAGCACACTGTGACTCCACTGGAGGTTGAGACCACCAGTAGATGCTATTCAGCAAGTGGAAAAACTTGGTCTCTGTCCTGAACAGCTGACAAAAAGAGAGGTCATATATTATGGACTTTTGGCTTGTTATGTGACATCCTAGAGCAGAATTTCCTATTCTCTCATGTGTCCACAGAATTTCTTCCAGAAATTCTAAGAAAAGTGATTAAGAAAGGATATTTATGTTACTCAGTAATGTAATTATGTACACCTTCTAAAGAGCTTTGCACCATCATCTAAAAGTTTTAAGGAATCCACTGATTACATGTAGATCAAAAACCACTTGCTAGAGCATTAACAGAGGGAAAATTAATCTTAGCCCCTGTCACTCATACCCAGCTTTGGATAATAAGAGAGAAAATATTACAGTCTCTGATCATATTTAATGATAATGGGGGTCTGACTGAAAAGGTGTCTCTCCGGCAGGGAAAAGTTTCCGAAAAGCACCTAATGATAAACACCATTAGTTCAGAGTGGCTGCAGGAGAAATGTTTAAACCGCCAGACAGCACTTTGAGCTGGTGCCCGTATTTGAAGTTCAAAAAGCTGATGGTTTTGTCCTTCCTTTCTGACTCCACTGGGCTCTCACAGGACAGCAGCAGTCTGTCATCTTTTTCAAAAAATATGATGTGCTAGCATCCTAAAATAACGTCCCTGGTAACCCGCACTTGGATAATGCCCAACCACGACAGGCCTGGAGCGGCTCCTGGATAGTCTCCAAAGGGCACTGAAAGCACAAAGGAAGTGCAAACCACTGCTGTCCGGCAGCACCAATGGCAAGGAGGAAAAACTGGCAAAAATCAACTTCCATCCTGATGGAAAAAGCAGCTCAGCTTTGTGACTTGACTGAGAGTCAAGTGTCAGCAGTGTTGCTGTCAGCTCGAGGAGGAGGGCTACTTTGCCAGACTTGTCACAGCAAGAATAAGCTCCGAACTCACTGGTGCTGGCTACATCAGCATCCAAGGGACTTCTCACTCTATCTTAGGGAAATATTATTCTTACTCCTGAATCCAACCTGAATATAGCTACTGCAGAACAGCAGTGACCTGCTTGGTCTAATTCATACTTCCCACCATTTCACCCCATGCAGCTTCACCAGCAATAGGGGAATTTACACATTCCTTCATAAAAAAAGAAGAACAGGTCCATTTTTTTAAAAAAAGTAAAATTAATTTGCATCTTCCAAACCAATTTATCAAACTGAGCCACATCCATAAATATGAAAGAATGACAAATGCAATTGGCTTGAGTTTATGATGCTGGCACCTGAAGCCTACATTTCAAAGGCCTGTGCGTTTTGTTTAATTTTCTCACCTCTCATCAACCATTTCCCTGTAATTCACACTATGTGCACCCTGAAATGCAGGAAAACATCTTTTTCAGACACTGTTAACTATGAGATGAATTCTCCACATTTCACTGCATATTAACATGATCTTTTTTTGTTCGCTCAAATTTACTGCATAATTATTTTACAGCATGCATTTTAATTGAATTTTACTACTGTGTATATACTGACTCTGGATATGGATGTTTCTAGCATGCATATTTCATTTCTATAAGAATTTGAGAATAACTGATGACATTATATAGAATTAAAACAAAAAGAAATCCTGATCTGGGTCATAAACCAAAAACAGGCATGGTTAAAGGAGAAACTATGCTTAAGCTGTGCAACGTAATTTCCTTTTCCCTTTTTTTTTTTACTTTGTTCTGTGACTTGTAGTACCATTCCCTGTTAAAAATAAAGGTTATTAGAAAAGACTGACCAAGTGTTTGACCTGGTAAACCAGTTTTCATGTTTGTAGAATGCTACTGTCTAGTAAAACAAGTATGTTTGCCTCTTGAAACAGAGCATAAATCAGATAATATGTAACATGTTAAAATGAAGCAGCATGTTGGTCATGCTGGTGTTCTCCCTCTACCATGAAAATACAGACTGTGAACTGTCCTTGTACCTCACACTTCAGGGCTCCTCTACAGACGTAGGATTACTTGTGTCATACAACATTTACCACAAATGAACAAAAGGATGGATAATTTGTCAGTATTAGGGCTGAGACTGTGCTCACCTTCAAATCACCTAAACCATTACTTATGCTCCTCTCAAAAAACGCCAAACTGTTTTTTTTTTCTCTCAAATCTACTGTTACACCTTCAAATCACCTAAACCATTACTTACTTATGTTCCTCTCAAAAAATGCCAAACTGTTTTTTTTCCTCTCAAATCTACTGTTATGTCAGTGAAAGGGAAGAATTATAACTTGTTTATAGCTTATTCTTTAACAGGACAGCTGTTTCCAACCAGAGGAATTGAACTGCAGATCTCAGTTAATATTTCTTCTATAAACATCTCTGAGAACTTAGACATTGACTTGTTCTGCAGGGAATTTCTTACCCAAGCAGTGAGCACAGAAAGGCACTGAAGCCTATTAAAAAAAAAAAAAAGTGTACTTCCTTCATTCCACATCTCTAGGCCTTCATTTGGGGTGTTTGCTATCAAAATGCAGTCTTTTCATAAAATTTGGCTCTCCACCTTCACGGTCCATTGCTGGATGCCTTCCAGCTCATCACTGCTTCTCTTGCTCCGGGCAGGGAGCGGGACAAAACTGGACTTGCATCGCAGATGTGGCCCCACCAGCTTGGAGCCATTCCCCTTCCCCTCAACCTCCTGGCTCCTTCCTCTTAACTCCTGTTCTGTTTATGGTAATCACAAAAATATGTTCATATGTTTGAATTAGCACTCACCAGCCACTGCTGAGGTATCTCCGGTAGAGGCATTTGAGGTGGTGCAGGCAAACTGTTGGCAACTTCCTGCTTTTGGACATGTTCTTTAATTTCGAAACCTGTGGGAGAGGGACACAACATCACTTAACACCTCATGGAGTCAACACACCATGGAGTCAAGACCTCATAGAGACCACACCTCATGGAAGCAAACATGGTGCTGTTCCCCACGGGCGCTCTTCGCTATGTTCAATGGCCGCAAACTGAGTTCTGGCACACGACCCTTCCCAGAGTCACTCCCAGGTCACCCCCTAGACCTGCTGCTTCAGAGAAACAGCAACCACTGGGAGGAATGTCAAGGATTGGGAATTTAATCATGCAGAACAAGCACATACTTATGATATAGGCTAAAAGCTGCTTAGATCAACAAATACCAGACAGAGAAAAAAAACAGAAAAGAAAAACAGGAAATAATTCCAAACTAGCTACTAATCTGAACCGAAAGATTTACTACAGAGCTGAGACTTTATCGTCCAGATAAAGGCGTTTACAAGATGAGGATCCCTCACTTGTGGCCACCTCAACGGCAGCGCGTGGCGGGTGAACCCTGTGGCCTGGGCCTGGTGCTGGAGCAGGGGAGGGATGGCCAAGGTGCTGCTCAGTGCCCCTTCATCCAGAACGAGCAGGCCCTGTGGCCAAAATTCCTTTCTTCCTCTCATTTCTGAAACAAGCACCATGGTTTCCCAAGCAAACTGGGGAAAGGAGCAGAAGCTGGATGTAAAAAGCCACTTCCATATGGCTCCTGGGGAAAAAGAATGGCCCTTCAGTGCTGAGTTTCTGGCAGGGCAATTTAAATCCCCATCACACTTCATGACAACACAATGCTGTTTGTTTTTCTAACTATCAAAAAGGAGATTGGGGTGCCTCTCCTCGACGCTTTGGCAAAAATTAGTCAATGGGATGCACCCTGCTTACCCCTAGATGGTATTCAGCTCCTAGGGTTTAGTTTAGTTTTTTAAATATATATTTACATAGCAAAATGGGTGTCTTTTGGTCAAGACCATGTAATTCTCAAAAATGTAATCAATGATGAAAGGTTTCTTGTCATAATAACTCAGTCGCACTGGCTGCGAAGCCATGGACTGAAAAACAAGACTGATAAAATAAACAGTCTCTAAGGGCCACAGATACTTCTTTCTTCCTAAAAACTGAGAGTATAATTTTTCTTGGGAATCATTCCTTTTTTTTTTTAAGGTGTAACTTTCACTTGTGCCTTACATAGGACAATATCATATTATGACTGCTATCCATATGCCAGTCACCTATACTTTCTGTAACAACTAAAAGTTAAATTTGAGAGGTCCTTTTAATGGAAAAAAGAAAGTATTCAAAGTGAATTCTACTGACTCTCTAAAAGCAGGTTTTCCTCAAAGTTTGAAAAGATGTATATTTAAGCAAGAAACTGCTCTAATACTTATTTTCTTCTACCAAATTGCACAGCAAATTCAGCGTTATAGGCTTATGACGTTACAGTCCCGTTAAAGAAAATGGGCAATGCTGACAGTCATGTTAAATGACTGAATTCACTAAAGGTTCTTACTCCAACATAAACTGGTGTTGCCTTTGTTTTTCAGAAGTCTGCGTTTCAGAAGGAAATGCCAAGTTCAGAACTAAAATCTAATGGGAATGCCAAGATTCAAGAATTAAAATAAAGTTTACAGTTTTGCCAGCTAACCAGAATAACTACTGCTTTGGAGGTGAAGCAGGTGGAGATTAGATAGCTACAACCTGAAGAATACATCTGACTGGGCTCATTCTCTCTGTTTGATGGGTATTAAATGAAGAAAACAGTGTGCAGTTAGTAGGCACAAGAAAACATGGCAAGAGATTTTTAGAAAATTTCCCAACTCAAGACTTGCAGAGAAAAGAGTCATGGTTTAAATTTTACTAAAATCCAGCCAGACCCTTATAATAATTCCCGCACCTTTAAAAAGCAAAACATAATTGTTCACTTCCAGATGTTATAAAGGATCCAGCCAGTTCCCATTTGCACAGATCCTTCATCACCTTTCCCCATTATTATTCCCTTATTAAATGGTTTGCCTCAGCAATAGAAATATGCTGGTGGATTCACACAGTTGATTTTTAAAAATGCATATAAAGAGCCTGAACTCAGCATAATCCTCAGGCCTATTAAACTATGCCAGCATTCCCAAGGCACATCTCATGGATGTTACGTGGGTGGAGTAAAATAACACTTTAAAAAACAGATTCAAAGTGACAGCTCAGCTTAGTTACAGCATATTGCAAGTTTATGCTTTATTTTATTGCTTTTAATTCTAATGAAGAGATGAATAGTTTCAAAGGGATGGGAGTACTGAATGTTATAACAGATCAAAAAAGCAGCAGGGTCATCTCTGAAGTACACGACTCCCTTCAGTTTCACATGCACTTGCAGCTGCCGTGAGATGGCACGGTTCCCACGCGAGCCGCTCCGCTCTCCCCTGCCCTGTTCCTGTCCCGGCACCAACCTCTCCTGCGGGCCAGAAAAGTACGTGTGTGGCCTCATGTTGAACCAGAGCAGGAAGCTGACACAGGTTAGGACTAACCCAGTAAAAAAGCAAATAACGCTCGTGCTAGCAGAAAGCAGGACACAGAACAGGAGCAGGAATAAGCAGCCCAGGGAGCGGGAGAGCAGCACTTTCTGTAGAGGCTCTAAATGTTTAAGCTACAGTTCTGTGAACTGGAGTTTGTAGAGTGCAGTCCAAAAAGATGTCTGCTGCCATCTTTAATGACCTCTTGCTTAACTCAACTATAGGACTTCCTTGAACTAATTCGTATGAACTAGAGCATATCTCTTAGGAAAATATTTCATCTTGATAATACGCCAGCAATGGCATGCAGACTTTAGAAAGCTCTTCCATTAGTTAATAGTTTCAATGCTCAAAACACATGCTTATTTCTACTTCTTTGAAACAAACATTCAGTCATTGGATACTGTTATATCTTGTTGTGTAAATTTAAGAGCTCATTCCCAGGGGTCCTTTTTCTATGCTGAGATTAACTATGATGTCTCTTTAGGGTTATTTAAAGGCATATTACTGGATCGTGGTTCTGACTTTTCTTTGAGATGCCCAAACCATGGGAAGGTTCCCATGTCTGGGACTCTGATACTGAGAAATTTTTATCAATTTTGTTAAAACCTCTTGCCTCTAATACACAGGGTGGAGTGGGAGGACTTCTAAAGTGTCTGTTGGGAACAGTTCTTTGCCCCTGCCAGCTCCCAAGTCATGCCTAAGAACTGTTGGGAAAGACAACTCAGTTCAGGACAAAATCATGCCAAGGACCACTCCAAAAATTTAGCAGTACAAATGGTTGAGTGCCAGGGCCCAGAAACAAACCCACTGCTGTTTGATTTACTAGTTCTGCTGTAGTTTTTGTGTCCTGAAACACCAACCACAATCCAGAGAAATGGATTTTGCAAACTGTTGCAAAGCTGGCACCAGAATACTGCCTGATTTCTTCAGGAAGTCAAATGTCTTTACAATAAATCTGGTCAGAAAGATCAAAAGAACAATACACAATTTTAAATCAGCATTGTATGAAGTTATTTCAATCTTTATAAAATGTAGCTGTTTCTAAACATACCAAATTGCAAATACTTACTGAACTATAGGTTTTTGTTTTAGGGAGCTAAGTATATTTTGTTTGGCTTTTGGAGCATGAAGCCTCCTTCCACAACACATGAAACTGTCACCTGACTACTTCTCTCACTCGTAAAGTGAAAATAGTGATGGATCTTCAAGAAAGTCAATAGTGAGAGCAGGATGATCGGGAATTTCAAGCTGAGCTCCCTGGACCCGAATCCTGTGCAAATGTGGTTTCTTTACTGGAGGCAGGGAACTGTATTATTTTTAGCACTGGAGAAGAAACAAGTCATGCAAAATGCAGCTGCTCACAATGTGACATTTTTCTATTATTTTCCAAAAGCTAACCGCGAGGGATTTATACTGACAGTACATCTGTCAAATAACAGAACTTACAGCTCAGATACTTCCTTATACAGTAAGGTGCTGTATGAAAACAGAGGGAGTACTATTAGGAAAAATAGTGGAGATGATAGTGGGGAAGATTCTTTGTAAAAGCTCTGGAGAAGATTGCTGTATATAGTCAATCAATTTATATTGTACTCAGTTACATAGTCTTGATGGATTGAAAAGTGATTGTGCAATTAAACCTCTGTGTGTTTAGCGTGGAGACGAGAAGACTGAGGGGAGGTCTGATCAATATGTATAAAAACCTAAGGAGAGAATGTAAAGAGGATGGGGCCAAACTCTTCTCGGTGGTGGCCAGTGACAGGACAAGGGGTAATGGGTGCAAGTTGAAACACAGGAAGTTCCACCTGCATATGAGGAAGAACTTCTTTACTGTGAGAGTGACAGAGCCCTGGAACAGGCTGCCCAGAGAGGCTGTGGAGTCTCCTTCTCTGGAGATCTTCCCAACCCGCCTGGATGCCGCCCTGTGCCACATGCTCTAGGTGTCCCTGCTGGAGTAGGGGACTGCTGGGGGGACTAGATGTTCTCTAGAGGTCCCTTCCAACTTCTGTGTGATTCTGTAAATTAAAATAGTTTTAAATAGAAAGAAAAAGGGAAAGTATTACTTTAATTATGAAATCCAAACACTCTGACTGCTGTTTCCTGGCTGTTGGCTGGGCACTCCTGTGTCCACCATGCACAATGTCTGCATTTAAATCAAACCTTTTCATGAATTTTGGTCATATGATAAACATGCAGCATGCAACCTCCATGCTGGTAAAAATGGTGCAGTGGCCAATGCTCCCTGATGGCAGTATTGCTTTTCCATCAAAATTAATAAATAGAATTGCTTCCACAAATAAATGAAGTAACTACTATATCAACAAAGTGAAAACATTCTTATTTTGTGGCTAGGCTCACCCATGCACAATACATTAATTTTTCTATCAAGTCTTTTGCTATATTTTATTGCTGAGCGCTGTGGAAAGCATGCAGAGAAGTTACACTTAAGCTTCAAGCTGTCCTGCTGCATTGCTTCAGTTTAGGGTTTTACCCCCTTAAAACTATTTCATTAGGCATGAACTTATTCTGTGCATTCTGCAAGCAAGAAAACACAGCCCTGACATTGACCTTTTGATGCCTGTATCCTCAGGAGGATGTTAGTTATTACGGCCTTCTTCTCCCTGACAGTAGAAGTTAGATATTCATGGTCCAGAAGTTCAAGAAACAGACGCAGTTCAACTATTAACTCTTCCATGGCTGAAAAACAATCAGAAAAAAAAAGACATTTTATAAACATGCAAGTTCCCACTGAAACAAAGACAGAGTTAATTCTCACATTCCCATTCAAGTTATTTATCATTTCTCAAAAATGTATGTTCCTCCCTCCTGGAGACACACTGCATCTATTTATCAAAGCAAGAAACTAGCACATTACTGAGCACTATTGGCATTTCCGCAATCACCGCAGTCACCACAAAAACGATGTGAAAAAGACCCAGTTCTTTCCATACAGCAAATCACCGAGTTGGTGCTGCATAAAAGTGTCAGTGCCATCTTTACTAGCAGCGCCACTCCTGCTCCTCTCCCTTTAACAAACAAATCTTACCTGCAAAAGAAAATTACAGTTTGACACAAAATTCTAAACAGACTGCTATTTTCAAAAATCCTTAGGGAATTGTTCCCCCTTAGTTTATTTCTTCTGTTTCCAGTAGGAAAAAAGAGAGCAAAATTTCTTATTACTCCCCATATTCCTGATCTTGCACTTTTTATTTCAGATTTCTTTTATTCCAGTTGTAAGGACTTCCCAGTTCTTTCTGTGAAAATCACATTCCTTCTCTGGATTTACAGTGCTTCACAATTTTATGTAATCAAACTTTTTTGTAAGCACATTTCCATTTCTTTTCTTCTCAAATTAGCTCTGAAAATTGACATTCTTGTGATAACTGCAATGGCTCAGCCCATACAGAGAAATGCATTTGTTCCAGGATAAACCACTCAGTAGATTTATGAGACACCCATAATACTGAACCTCATTTCTATGTTTCAGTTCACTCATGATTGTGAGATCCCCTTGTCCCTACACTCATGTGGGCTCTATTTTTAGTTTAGCCTTCATCTTGCATGGAACAGTTTACACCTTCCTACTTTCCTGTATCTGATGCCATTATCCTCATGAAATGCTGAGAAGAAACATTCATTTCATTTCAGGGCTACGCCCTGAAGACTGAGATGGAGATAAATCTCAATCCTCATTCCAAAAAGCCTCTATTTTTTTTCTGTTTATTTATATGTGTGTGTATATATATAAAAAATCATATTTTCAAGGTCTAATAGGCCACTTCTGGTAAGTCCTAAAATCTCTTCTTTACTACTCACTCCATTATCAGCTCTTGGCTCCTCCCCATCCCTTCTTCATACGGTTGTTCATCAAGCTGAAAGTAGAATCCTTTTTTTTTTTTTTTTCTATTTGTGGGAAGGTGCCTGAAAGTTTAAACAGTTTTTGGTCCAGATACATTAGTTTTATCTGACCCTTGAAATCAGGATGGTGCTGGGCAACCTGCAGACGCCACCTACAATCCTGCAAGTGGCTGGTGGCCCCTTCTTGTCTCCAGGGACTGCAGCTTGTCCCATTTATTTGCAGATTCTATTGGGATGCTCAGGATGCTCTGGCAAAACTGATCTACTCCTAGGAGGCAATGGAAGACAGAGCTGGTTGCAATACTAAAGCACGATGAAGTCTTTGCGAAGAAGTCAGTCCTAAGAAGTGCATATGGGCAAATATTTTCTGAAAGACACTGTATATCCCTACAGTACAAGATTTCCTCTTGGTGAATATATTCTTCCATTTAACTGAGCAGTATGACTGCCGTTATATAAACTACCCACATCTTCAGGAAATATGTTCCTCCAAGATTTTTACAAAGCCATTTATACCTAGGCAGATGGACAGGATGCAAGATGACAGGAAATCTGCCTACAGCGCTTGGCCACATAGTCCACAAAAAACTGCAAATAGCTACAGATCATTTGGTCTGCCAGAAATCCAAAAGTATTTCAGGACAACCATATTGCTTCCAGTGTGGTTCACATTCTGGAGGAATTTGCAAAGGGACAAGCGACTATAAAAAACAAGATTTAAGAAAGAAAACAGTATCTATAATCTGAAAACTAATAAAATAATCCCTAAATTATCAGCCATGGGTTATTTTTCAAATGACACATTTCAGAAGCAAGACTTAGATTCTATTAAGTGTGTGCAACACACAAATTCTGATTGCAGCAGACTGATGCTTTTAGGTCTTCTTTAAATACATTTTTTAAACTATTGTAGTTCTGAGTTTTATATTAAGAAATTATGGAATATATGCATCTTAATACTAGTTTATTATATCACAAACATTTCAAAAGAAATCATTATTGTAGAATCTGAGCTGTCATAGTGGAATCTAATCAGTACACAGTGCTAGAAACATTTCTTTTGCAAGTACTTTCACAGCCATATCAATTATCGCCAGGGCTTATGAGCACATATGCACTTTAAAATGTCATCAACATATACAATGTGCATAATTTCTATTTGCATATATTACCACACTAACATTTCTGTGAACTGTCATGTTTTCTGGATTCTCTGAAGAAAAAGACCACAAAAAAAAGGAGTCCTCACTTGTCTCTCACCAATTAATGTTATGTGGGTTAATACTACCTTTTCCTTACCTAGAACCTGAATTTCTACAGCAAAAGAGAGAAAATAATGAAAGCAAAAGATACCACTAATAGCATTTTTCAGCTATTAAAAAGGATACGATCCTTGCACTCAGGAGCTTATAATCTAATATGGATAGACAGTAAAATGAGAAATGATAGCCAGCCGGAGGGAGTTTGATGCTTAGATACCAGGGAAGCAACAGAAGATAAGAGGAAATGGGAAACCACTGCTGAGGAGACTACTGGGAGCTGGCGTTGGTCCAGTTCTCTCCTCTGATCCAGCAGAGGATCTAGCAAAAGCCTTTGGTCAGCACTGGTAAAGGAAGGCAACAGAAGAGGGTAACAGTGTACTGTAACTGTAATGCCTAAAAAATTCTAGAAACTCCTGTCTTAGACAACACATTCACCATAACTGCACTGCTGCTTGGCTTGGTGTCCAGCAATGTGGTTTAAATATATCAAATAATGTATCATAAAGGAATATAGAATGTGAGAAGACTTGTTCCTCCTGTCTTCATACACCTACATGTATACTACACTGAGCTTAATTACGCAATAGCAAAAGCTATTTTAAGATTTTAATATGAAAAGAGAATAGAAATGTTACCAGCTGTTATAAATTGCTAAACGTAAGTGTTTTGACATTTCTTATTTTTCTAACAGCATTAAATTGGGGTTGTATTTTCTTTTGCAGGAAAAATTAATATCATATCAAACATCACAGTGTAAGAATAGAAGTTCTGAATTTCACACATGCACAAAAAAGAAACGCTGTTTGCACCTTGTAAGAAGCACTCTTTCCATGTCCCTCAAAGTGCATTTACTTTCTTTTTTAAAATTTTGCTGCTTAAATGCATAAGAGATACTGTGAACTCTTTGAGAGAGCAACATGCAAACTTACATGTAATGAGAAAAAAAAAACTCCATTTGCTCAGTTCTCAATCCTTGGCTTATTTTCTGGATTAAAGATTTTTTTCTTGTCCTGCCTAGAAATGTAATGATGCACTCACAGAAAGTAATGGGACAGAGTAACAGAAAATCCACAAAAGACATATTTTCAGTAAGCAGTCATTACTTCTGAAATGGAGACCAAAAATGAGAGGGTGACGCAAGTCCCAAAGAAAAACATACTCCTCTAGTGAGAGATGACCCCTGGAAATCTGACATCACCACAAAATAAGAAGAATAATCAGAAGGCTCTCAAAAAGGGGCCAATTTATTTGATAGTTTTGGCTGAATTCTTATTGCCAAAGAAATTTCTTGTAAGTGGCAGGTGGTGAAAGGCAGGGTGGAGCCCAGGGACCCCAATCACGACAGTAAGCAGATTTCAGCTGGACTGAGGCGCAAAATCACATTCCTTATTAAATGATGAGAAGTCCACTCTCTGCTCTGCAGGAGTTATGGGCCCCTCATGTGCTGCCGCGATTGCCATGCGCCAGTAAAAAAACGCTACATCCAGAAGGGTTTCCAGCTTCGGCTCTCGAGGGTTTTAAAGTTCTTCAAATGACAGCACATAAAAACTATCCACATGAGCCAGCAAAAGAATACACCAAGGTAAAATAATCAGAGAAAGACAATTACATCATGCTGTAGGGTTTGTTCCAAACCAAAACTAAAATCAACTGATCAGCATAAGGGTGAAGTTACTTCAAATTTACACTTATGCGTACTGGCCTATAACCATTTTTAAGAATATAAAGTGTGCATTTCAAATTGATTTTAAAATTCTTAGGAGTAGTGCCATATCACACACTGGGTTTCCAGTTTGTTTGAAAGAAATAAGCAAAAATACAAGTATGAACTCAGGAAAAGCACGTTCAGGTTGTGTTTTGTTCACGCACAGGAATTACAGTAGACCCTAACCTGCTACGTCACTAGTATGCCCAGAAAGTGCTTCCTAATATCAAATAATCCTTTGAAGACTCTTTAAAAAAAACAAGAAGGCAAATCCAAAAAGGATGGCACAAAACATATTTTTATTTTTCTTTATTTTCATCTTACACTATACAGTGCAACCCCTCATAAGACACATGAACTTCCATGCTTCCCATCCTATTCTAAATGCATGTATACAAATCTACAAGTACACAAATCTACCACAGAAATATGAATTAAAACTGAATTAAAACTACGAAAGTATCTTTTGGTGAGTTGCCTGCACATTGCTGAATCAATTTTTTCTGGACTTAAATTTTCCATTCTCAGTTTTAGTTTGTGATTTATAGATGTTTGAAGGCCAGAACAAACCAACTCTAGATGGGATCATCTAACGACAACCCCAAACTGAGAGAACAGTTGCCAAGGTAAGGCTGCCATACCCAGGGATTTCAACAATTTGAAAAAAATATCAGAAATCTGTAATTTAATCCTGGGGATGGAATAACCCCAAGAAACAGTACTGGCTAGAGAGCAGCTCTGTACAAACTGATCTGGGGCTTCTGGTGGGCAAGCTGAGCACAGGTGAGAAGTTTTGCCAAGAAGCCCTGAGCCACACACTGGGCTGCATTAGCACAAATATAGCTGGCAGATCAAAGAAAGTGATTATATCCCTCTACACAACACTGGTGAGGCCACATCTGGAGTAATGGGTCCATTTCTGGCCTCCCCAGTGCAAGAAAGACACTGACAAAGTTGGGCAAGTTGAGTAGATGGCCACTGAGAGAGCGCTGAGTTCAGGAGCACATAACAAAAATGAGGGGAAACTGAAGCAGCTGAGTTTGTTCAGCTTGGAGAAAAGAAGTCT